TAAATATATAGAAAATCAATGTAAATTCATCGTACTTATTAATCTGAAGATGAATAATAAAAAGCCTAAATCAATCAATCAATCAATTAAAAATAATTTTTTCATACAAAATGGAGCATTGATTATTCTCGTGGATGGCCATATTAGTAAAATGACAGACATCTATCAAAACTTTCATGTGTTGTATGGAAAAATACTATTGATATTTATATAAAAAAATAATAGCTAAATACTGAAATAAAAGCACATTACAAATTTGGACTTATTTTGTTCATTTTTGTTCAGTCAAACACACGCAATCTCGTTACTATTAATCACACTCATAGTCACTGAGTATGACTATTATTACAAATGTGTATTTATACTGTTTTTAAAAAATGTAATTAAAATATACAATTATAACTCTAAGTTTGAAAATTTGTAATCCAGGCATTTAATACATAAAAGATAAAAAAGTTTCTCCGGATTTTAAATGATTTTTATTGAGCTTTCGACTCGTTGCTTCGAGCCTTCATCAGAATGAGGATATTAATTTACACGTGCTTTTTTAGCTGGGAGACGTTTAGAGCGTCTAATTGGATTAGTGGGTGGATTAATGTGATTGGATGGGGTGAAATGCGTTGCCATGGGTTTTGGTGTATTGTTAATATGATTGGTGTTAATAATATTAGAGTGTAGTGTTTTAGTTTTGATGTTGTTTGTATTTTTTTGTCCTTTTTCTTTAGGTGTGAGTATATGATGGGTATGTCGATATGTCTGTTTATTGTGTCGTTGTCTTTACTGTACCAAGCTTCTTTAAATTCGCGTGCGTGTTTAGTCTGTGCGCGTCCGAGTCCTTTAGTTTCTGTCCAGTCGAATGTGTGGTTGTTTCCGTGGGTATGTTCTGCCGGTAGTGAGTTCGGATCTCGTCGTTTAATGGCGTTTTTGTGTTCTGGGAGTCTTGTTTCAATTTTCTTAGATGTTTGTCCTATGTATTGTTTTGAACAGTCTTTACATGGTATCATGTAGATCGCGTCAGTTGTATCATGAATTGTTGTTTTGTCTTTATGTTTGGTGAAACATGATTTGAGTTTTTGTGTAGGTTTGCGGGCGACGTTAATATTAAATAGTCGAAGAAGTCTGGCAGTCATTTCTGATGTTCCGTTTATGTATGGTAATGTGACGATTTTTACTGTTTCGTCCGGTTTTTTGTTGTTTTTGTCGGTTTGTGTTTTGTTTTGTATTTTGTATATAGTTTTGTTTATGAAGTTTCTAGGGTAATTGTTTTTAATTAATGTGGAGTATAAGTAGTTGCGTTCGGTTTTTTTGGCTTCTTCCGTATTACAATGAGTGTTTATCCTGTTGAAAAGCTTTCGAATGCAGCTTATTTTGTGTTGTGTTGGATGATTGCTGTTGAAATTGAGTATTTGGTCTGTGTGGGTGGTTTTGCGGTATACTTGTGTGTTTAGTGTACCGTCATCTGTTCTCGTTAGTATGATGTCGAGGAAGGTAAGTTGTTTGTCTTGTTCTTCGTCTTTAGTAAAGGTAATGTTCTTTGTGGTATTGTTTATGGTGTGTAGGATTTGTTCAGTTTTGTCTTTCTTGACTATGGCAAAGATGTCGCCAACATATCTTTTCCATAGTCTGATGTTTGTGTTGTTTGTGACTGATTGTGTTTCGAGGTGTTGCATGACAGCTTCTGCGAGGAAGGTGGATAGTGGTGATCCCATTGGTGTGCCTGAAATTTGTCTGTAGTATGTGTTTTGGAAGGTGAATTCAGTGGAGAGGCAAAGGTTGAGTAAGTCTAGGATGTCAGTTTTGTCTAGTTGTGTTGTAGCTTGCCAAGTTCTGTCGTTTGTGAGTAATTCGTTTGTAATTTGTTTGGCAATGTCTAGTGGTATGGATGTGAAGAGTGGTGTCACGTCGTAGGATATCATGATTTCGTCTGGTCGTAGTTTAATGTTTTTAATACTGGCGAGGAAAGAGGTGGCATTTCTGATGGTGTGAGGTGAATTTTTGACTAATGGTTACAAAATGTTATAAAGATATTTTGAAAGCTCATACGTAGGTGGTCCTGGAAGCGATACGATAGGTCGAAGTGGGTTGTTTTCTTCGTGGATTTTTGGTAGTCCGTAGAATTTGGCGGTGGATGCGTCACTGGGTCGGATTCTTCTCTAGTCGTTTTCGTTTAGTTTTCGTTTAGTAGTCGTTTTCGTTTAGTAGTCGTTTTCGTAACATCAGACTATGGAAAAGATATGCTGACGACATCTTTGCCATAGTCAAGAAAGACAAAACTGAACAAATCCTACACACCATAAACAATACCACAAAGAACATTACCTTTACTAAAGACGAAGAACACGACAAACAACTTACCTTCCTCGACATCATACTAACGAGAGCAGATGACGGTACACTAAACACACAAGTATACCGCAAAACCACCCATACAGACCAAATACTCAATTTCAACAGCAATCATCCAACACAACACAAAATAAGCTGCATTCGAACACTTTTCAACAGGATAAACACTCATTGTAATACGGAAGAAGCCAAAAAAACAGAACGCAACTACTTATACTCCACATTAATTAAAAACAATTACCCTAGAAACTTCATAAACAAAACTATATACAAAATACAAAACAAAACACAAACCGACAAAAACAACAAAAAACCGGACGAAACAGTAAAAATCGTCACATTACCATACATAAACGGAACATCAGAAATGACTGCCAGACTTCTTCGACTATTTAATATTAACGTCGCCCGCAAACCTACACAAAAACTCAAATCATGTTTCACCAAACATAAAGACAAAACAACAATTCATGATACAACTGACGCGATCTACATGATACCATGTAAAGACTGTTCAAAACAATACATAGGACAAACATCTAAGAAAATTGAAACAAGACTCCCAGAACACAAAAACGCCATTAAACGACGAGATCCGAACTCACTACCGGAAGGACATACCCACGGAAACAACCACACATTCGACTGGACAGAAACTAAAGTACTCGGACGCGCACAGACTAAACACGCACGCGAATTTAAAGAAGCTTGGTACAGTAAAGACAACGACACAATAAACAGACATATCGACATACCCATCATATACTCACAACTAAAGAAAACGAACAAAAAAACTACAAACAACACCAAAACTAAAACACTACACTCTAATATTACTAACACCAATCATATTAACAATACACCAAAACCCATGGCAACGCATTTCACCCCATCCAATCACATTAATCCACCCACTAATCCAATTAGACGCTCTAAACGTCTCCAAGCTAAAAAAGCACGTGTAAATTAATATCCTCATTCTGATGAAGGCTCGAAGCAACGAGTCGAAAGCTCAATAAAAATCATTTAAAATCCGGAGAAACTTTTTTATCTTTTATGAATTATAACTCTATAATGGTACTATATGCTAAACACTACATATTTCACCAAACACTCAGATGTTTGAACTTTAAAACTGTGTAACGAATTGGTACTATCAGTTGACAAAATACGTAAACTTAAAGAACAAAAAAATAGACGTACTTTGAACTTGTTTTACTGAATGATGTATAAAAATGTAGAAATTTAATCAGAAATTTTATCTGGACGTATTTCATTTTAGCACACCAAAACACATAAAACCAAGAGCATAGTACATCGGATTTGAAAATTGATTAAATCCACAATGATTTCAAAAAAGCAAGAGCAGTAAACTTGTTCAAATTGTATTAGGAGCTGATTTCGTGAGCCCGGGTAGCCGTGATTTAGCCAAGCGTTAAATGATTTAGGCAAATGGACACAATACAAAACTCGTCTCAGATAAATTTTCACCGGAAATTTTACATTATTCTGAGTTAATAACTACGCAAAACATTTAAAATTACAATAACCAATTCGGCTTAATTTATGAATTTCAGCAAGAATGATTTGTGGCGTTTAACAAACAGTTGTAATTTTTGCTTAAAGTTTTGCCTTTTTTTCAATGCCTTCAAATTATTTCACGCCTTACTGACTCCCGTTTAGCCGGGATCTTGTAAACATCCCGTTAGTTTTCCAGTTCACCATTTTTTGAGCAATGGTTGGATTCCTTTATCAATAACATAAAGTATGTGCTTGTGATATTTACCCAAACGCAAAGAAGACACCTCATAGTTAAATGTTTAAAAAGTCATATAAAAATATAAATATACTGGTGTATATATTATTGATATACATAGAAAACATATCTTACTTGTAAAAATCGATGACCCTTAATGTCAAGAGAAAACCATGTCGAGATACAATATTATCAGAAGAGAAGTTCACATGAAAATTTCCGTTTTTAAAAATCAGCGGGGTATTGAATGCCGAAAAGCCGCAGGTATGATTTGACGTAACACCATCTAACAACCTGTCCCATACACAAGTGCTGTGCAATACATAATTACAGTCACTTAGTTAGTAAGTTACAAGCCAAACAATGGACACAAAACTGGCGATGTGTTTTCAATCATAGAGTTTGCTACAATAATTTAAAGTACAAAGCGTGTAAGAGGAAATTTTTTTACAACTGAACACTTTTACAAAAGACAAGATAAGTAATGCATTTTTCCTCATAACGTCTTGTTTGTATGTATGTAGATAAACGACGATTGCTTCGCAAAACTTTCGTCACTAATTGCTCGCGCTCTTGTTAAAGAAAAAGGAATAAACACAGATCACTGGCCTAAATATGTCATTGTAATGCAACAGACATTAAAATCTTTAAATTGTGAAACTTTGCTGAAGTCATTGTAAATGCATTTCAATATCGATGGGTTATTCACAACAAAATAAACAAAACGAGTTGACTAATTGGTTTCCAGTAACTTATGCAATCCTAAAAACAACACAAATTTAATGAGTAATAAGGCCCCTACAGTTAACCGGAAATTCGAGTGTTTCAAGAAGTCTTCACTTACAACCCTAGTTTGCTTCATAAACACTCGAACTTTAGAAATATGAACTGTGCGTTGTTATGGCAACCATGTTTTATTTTCCTTTACACACTTATTATACAGTTTTAAAAGAATTGACTGCATCTTTTTTGGTACGGAGAATTTTCCTAATATTTTGTGCGACGATTGTTAATCATTCAAAGAGCACTATGGTTAGCATAGAGTTACTTCTACGAATAATTATTTTAAATATTTGAGAATTTCGGTTACATTAAAACTTATTTGTAGATTATGTTCTATTTTGCATGTGTTAAAATTTTTGTTGTATTGAGCATTCACGCGAACTTTTCACAAAATTTACATAAGGAAAAGGAAAAGAATTATCAATAAATTCAACACGGCCAGGTTAATAATTAAGATATTAAACCTCACTGCAAATTTTAGGGGCTGCCGTATTTTCAAAGTACAGGTCCTACTTCCTGAGCCATTAGGATAGTTTGGAGACACAACAGTCCTATTGAACTGATTAATAAAACAGAACAGATGTTGATTCCCGACACTAAAAAAGAAATAAATTTCGAGGAATTGTTTTAAAATAATAACTAAATTGAACTTTTCTAAAACGACCAGAGCTTTAAGTAACATACACACACTTAAATTATTTTTACACATTAATTAAATGTTTATATAACCAAATTTAAAAGTACGACCCTTACCATTTGCACCACTTGTGCTTGTTGAGGTAGGTGTGGCTGTAGAACAAACAGTACATATATATTGTCTCTCAATTGTCATTATATTTTAAGTTCTGCATGTACGTTAAATAAAACTGGTATGCACTTTGTATAACAAAATTAGAACAACTCTTTTGTTTTTAACAAGCAAAAGTCTATGGATTTAAAGTTATAAAAAAAGCTTCAAAAATAGGAAACTCGTAGAAAAGATTTGCGCTAGTTTTTATTTATTGTTTAGGGATAATTTGACTGGTTAACAACGATTGAAATTTATTAAAATCTTTATTTATACGTCAAAACAAAACCATTCATCATTTTATCTTTATTGTTACGAAAGAAACTCTAGGCTATTATTTATTAAATACACAAATCTTAAAGAAAATTCAAAGGTAAAATTCTTACCAGCTCCCCCAATCGTACTATTGAAATCAGGTGTAACTGGAAAACAAACAAGAAACGCGTTTGAGGAGACTCTTCACAAGTCAATTAATTATGTTCTTAAATATGAAGTTAGTACAAAAAATGAAAACAACTCTTTTGTTTTAACAAGCAAAACTCTAAGGATTAAAATTTTTAAAAAGATTCACAAATAAGAAACTCGTACCATAATGGATTATTGCATGAGAGTAAGGTATTGGTAAGTGATAAAATTAAAAGACGTATGTCCTTCATTTGAAACACGAGTTGAGAAAAGTAACGAATAAGCTCTTTTAAATTTTTATAAATACTTGCCGTAGAAAATCTTCGGAGTTGGGGAAATTGTTGCTGTAGTATCTATAAAATTGAAATTTTATGGAAAATCGTTTAAAAGTAAAAGGAACATGCATCATCTCTATACGACCATATAACAAGATTGTTAATAAAAATGAGTTTTTTGATTCAAAAATTAACAAATTCAAAAACTATAGGAACTGTTAAGACTGTGTGCAAGAATGTTACATGGTAACAATGTTCGTAGCAATTGCTACAACGAAAAAGACAAAACTAGGTTCATTAAATGTTTTAACTGTTTAAAAACAATGTTTTACGTACAAGTCAAAGCTTCTTTTTTGTTAAAATCGTTCTTTTATTGAGATTTGTGCTAGTTTTTTTATTGTTTAGGGATAATTTGACTAGTTAAGAACGATTGAAAATTATTAAAATTTTATTTAGACGTCAAAACAAAACCATTCATCATTTTATCCTTATTTTTACCAAAAAACCTTAGGCTATTATTTATTAAAAACACAAATCTTAAAAAAATTCAAAGGTAAAATTTTTACCAGTTCCCCCAATCGTACTATTGAAATCAGGTGTAACTGGAAAACAAACAATAAACGCGTTTGAGGAGACTCTTCACATGTCAATTAAGTGTGTCTTCAATAGGAAGTTAGTACAAAAAATGAAAACAACTCTTTTGTTTTTAACAAGCAAACCTCTAAGGATTAAAAATTTTTAAAAAAGATTCACAAATAAGAAACTCGTACCATAATAGATCACTGCACGAGGGTAAGGTATGGTTAAATGATAAAATTAAAAGACGTATGTCCTTCATTTGAAACACGAGTTGAAAAGAGTAACGAATAAGCTCTTTTAAATTTTTATATATACTTGCCATAGGAAATCATCGGAGTTGGGGAAATGGTTGCTGTAGTATCTATAAAATTGAAATTTCATAGAAAATCGTTTAAAAGTAAAAGGGACATGCATCATCTCTATACGACTGTGTAATAAAATTGTTGATAAAAATGAGTGTTTTAATTCAAAAGTTAACAAATTTAAAAATATAGGAATTTTAAAACCTGTGTGCAAGAATGTTACATGGTGACAATGTTCGTAGCAATTGCTACAACGAAAAAACCCAAAACTAGGTTCATTAAATGTTTTAACTCTTTAAAAAACAATGTTTTACGTACAAGTCAAAGCTTTTTTGCTAAAATCGTTCTTTTATTGGGATTTGTGCTAGTTTTATTTATTGTTTAGGGATAATTTGACTAGTTAAGAACGATTGAAATTTATTAAAACTTTATTTATACGTCAAAACAAAACCATTCATCATTTTATCCTTATTTTTACCAAAGAAACTTTAGGCTATTATTTATTAAATACACAAATCTTAAAAATTCAAAGGTAAAATTCTTACCAGCTCCCCCAATCGTACTATTGAAATCAGGTGTAACTGGAAAACAAACAAGAAACGCGTTTGAGGAGACTCTTCACAAGTCAATTAATTATGTTCTTAAATATGAAGTTAGTACAAAAAATGAAAACAACTCTTTTGTTTTCAACAAGCAAAACTCTAAGGATTAAAAATTTTTAAAAAAGATTCACAAATAAGAAACTCGTACCATAATGGATTATTGCATGAGAGTAAGGTATTGGTAAGTGATAAAATTAAAAGGCGTATGTCCTTCATTTGAAACACGAGTTGAAAGAGTAACGAAGAAGCTCTTTTAAATTTTTATAAATACTTGCCGTAGAAAATCTTCGGAGTTGAGAAAATGGTTGCTGTAGTATCTATAAAATTGAAATTTTATGGAAAATCGTTTAAAAGTAAAAGGAACATGCATCATCTCTATACGACCATATAACAAGATTGTTAATAAAAATGAGTTTTTTGATTCAAAAATTAACAAATTCAAAAACTATAGGGAATTGTTAAGACCTGTGTGCAAGAATGTTACATGGTAACAATGTTCGTAGCAATTGCTACAACGAAAAAAGACAAAACTAGGTTCATTAAATGTTTTAACTCTTTAAAAAACAATGTTTTACGTACAAGTCAAAGCTTTTTTGCTAAAATCGTTCTTTTATTGGGATTTGTGCTAGTTTTTATTTATTGTTTAGGGATAATTTGACTAGTTAAGAACGATTGAAATTTATTAAAAACTTTATTTATACGTCAAAACAAAACCATTCATCATTTTATCCTTATTTTTACCAAAGAAACTTTAGGCTATTATTTATTAAATACACAAATCTTAAAAAAATTCAAAGGTAAAATTCTTACCAGTTCCCCCAATCGTACTATTGAAATCAGGTGTAACTGGAAAACAAACAATAAACGCGTTTGAGGAGACTCTTCACAAGTCAATTAATTCTGTTCTTAAATAGGAAGTTAGTACAAAATAAATGAAAACAACTCTTTTGTTTTTAACAAGCAAACCTCTAAGGATTAAAAATTTTTAAAAAAGATTCACAAATAAGAAACTCGTACCATAATAGATCACTGCACGAGGGTAAGGTATGGTTAAATGATAAAATTAAAAGACGTATGTCTTTCATTTGAAACACGTGTTGAAAAGAGTAAGGAATAAGCTCTTTTAAATTTTTATAAATACTTGCCGTAGGAAATCATCGGAGTTGGGGAAATGGTTGCTGTAGTATCTATAAAATTGAAATTTTATAGAAAATCGTTTAAAAGTAAAAGGGACATGCGTCATCTCTATACGACTGTGTAATAAGATTGTTGATAAAAATGAGTGTTTTAATTCAAAAGTTAACTAATTTAAAAACTATAGGGAATTTTTAAAACTTGTGTGCAAGAATGTTACATGGTTACAATGTTCGTAGCAATTGCTACAACGAAAAAACCCAAAACTAGGTTCATTAAATGTTTTAACTCTTTAAAAAACAATGTTTTACGTACAAGTCAAAGCTTTTTTGCTAAAATCGTTCTTTTATTGGGATTTGTGCTAGTTTTTATTTATTGTTTAGGGATAATTTGACTAGTTAAGAACGATTGAAATTTATTAAAAACTTTATTTATACGTCAAAACAAAACCATTCATCATTTTATCCTTATTTTTACCAAAGAAACTTTAGGCTATTATTTATTAAAAACAAAAATCTTAAAAAAATTCAAAGGTAAAATTCTTACCAATTCCCCAATCGTACTATTGAAATCAGGTATAACTGGAAAACAAACAATAAACGCGTTTGAGGAGACTCTTCACATGTCAATTAATTCTGTTCTTAAATAGGAAGTTAGTACAAAAAAATGAAAACAACTCTTTTGTTTTTAACAAGCAAACCTCCAATGATTAAAAATTTTTAAAAAAGATTCACAAAATAAGAAACTCGTGCCATAATAGATCATTGCACGAGGGTAAGGTATGGTTAAATGATAAAATTAAAAGACGTATGTCTTTCATTTGAAACACGAGTTGAAAAGAGTAACGAATAAGCTCTTTTAAATTCTTATATATACTTGCCGTAGGAAATCATCGGAGTTGGGGAAATGGTTGCTGTAGTATCTATAAAATTGAAATTTTATAGAAAATCGTTTAAAAGTAAAAGGAACATGCGTCATCTCTATACGACTGTGTAATAAGATTGTTGATAAAAATGAGTTTTTTGATTCAAAAGTTAACAAATTTGATAACTATAAGGAATTGTTAAAACCTGTGTGCAAGAATGTTGCATGGTTACAATGTTCATAGCAATTGCTACAACGAAAAAAGACAAAACTAGGTTCATTAAATGTTTTAACTCTTTAAAAAACAATGTTTTCCGTAAAAGTCAAAGCTTTTTTTCTGAAACCGTTTTTTTATTCAGATTTGCGCTAGTTTTCATTTGTTGTTTAGGGATAATTTGACTGGTTAACAACGACTAAAATTTATTTAAAATTTTATTTATACATCAACAAAAACCATTGCAGTTCTTTTTTCTTTATAGAAAATACGAGAATTACTTCTTAAAAATCAAGTAATTTCGTAGTAAATCCAACAACACTCATCATTATATAAAATAACTTACCCATAAAACGTGGTTCGGCATAGGTGGGATGGATATCACATGAACCACTAAGAAAAACAAAATCATCTAGAGCTATGTCACCCCTAAATCTGGAGCCACGAACACCTTCAACGATGATCTACAAAAAAAGCTTTTAAGCATTTTTTTACTAAGTTTTTAGCAAGATAAAATGCTGTACGGTGATTCAGATAGACATTGTTAACTTTTTTGCATATTCGAACTTTTACAAGGTAGTATGCAAAGTGTACTCAAAATTGATTATGCACTTTAGTAATTTAATGTCAGATATATGCCTTTTTTCGCTTTTCATTGCCAAATGAGCAGTTTGAATCTATAATTGCACTGAGTCTTGAAATCATAGGTGAATAAATACATGCAAAATGAAGTTTAGTTGCTAAAAAAGATTGTTTGATGTTTTAATAGAAAGTGGGTAGAAAATGTGTTGAACAAAAGTAAGAACGATGTTTTTGAAAACACAAAGGGCAGCCAAAAAATTTGATTTGCAATGTTTTATTGAGAACAAACGAAATTTTGGTCTGGAGACACGTGGCTTAAAGGGATATAAATTTGTAACATTTGTGACATGGATATACATTCTAAGACATTAATACTCCTTTATAATTCTACATCAGCATTTAATATTTAAAAGACGTTACAAGATAAAAAAAAACTTTTAAAAGGGATAGAAAAATGATTTTCTGGGGAAAGGCTACAGCCAAACATTTAACGTGTTGAAGAGTTAAGGAAGGGAAATTATTTGTGAACTGTGAACAAACAATTGAAAATTTTTCTTGTAACTGTTTATGTTCTCATCTCCAGCCCAACCATTTTAGGAATCCAAATAATCTTCCAATGTTGAAACTAAGTGTTTTGGTACTCTGTTATGCAGAGTTTGAGAACATTGCTATTAATACTCACCCTCGTTTTTGCTTCGGTAAATTTGGTTGTAACTTGACCTCTGTTCCATTGATTTCCTCTATTGCCAACTAATGTCCACAACAGCTTTAATCTTCCTCCCATGTATTGTTGGTATATGTTAAGAGAGCCAATTGTTGATCCATACATATGATACCAAAATGTAAAACATTTGGTTGTTGTATTAAAGTAGTTGCTAACCAACCATGCTTTATCACCCAGCACACGGGGACTTGATGTCTCAATGTAAATGTATTTTCCTAAAAGATATTTTTAAGCAAGTAAAGAAATTTTGTTTTATTTTTTTTAACAACACTCTCGTTTTTTGAAACTACAATTTTCTTCAAATTATATTTAAGTCATAGACCTGCATAAAAATTTGTATGCATTTCATTTATTGGAATTGACCTCAGTTGTTTTGGGTTAAAATAACCATGACAAACAACAGGGTATATGTGCAAATTCCTTAATCTGGGAAGAAAGTCCTCAATCGAAACCCGCCTGAAATGGCAGTGTCGACATAGCTCTAATGTCAAAATGACAAAATACAGTTAAAAACGTGTTTTGGAGGAAGCTAGGTAAAAAAATCCATTGTATGTCAACAAAACCATGTCAATCACTTTTAAACAATGCATGATTACAGTAAATTAAAAAGGTCTTTTTTGTTTCACGTAATTATTTCTTTGAAATTAAAAAATTCAATCTCTTCCAAGACTAGTTGTTGATTTATGCAAAATTGACATTCGACCAGAGTGGTGATTTTCTCAATATATATTTATCTTAGGGATGCAAAGACTGTTTGTAAAATGCCAATGACAAAATCAGTTGGATTTCTACTAGAGACATAAAAAGTATGTACGATAGTACAGAAGTGACCATTTCACTAATTGTTTTTGTACTTCTGGAAACAGTAAACGAAAAGACATGGGTTCGACTGCATTATATAAAAAAAACAATCAAATTTTCCTTTAATTAAAGCGAGGGGATAATATTGTTGGGAAGACTATTCCATGTGAAATATCCTTAGTACAAGACAGATATTTGCATAAATTCGGTATTTGGTTTACCAACCAAAACTTTTCTATCATTATTTCTAAGTATATATGTTTAAGTAGACAAATTATTTCTGGGGATTTCTGTGATATATCCTCTGAGATTGTCTATTATACATCATAAAAGATATTCATTGCCTTAATTGTTGCGTTTGTTAAGATTTTTTTCATGGGCTACAAACTGATGCTTTAAACAAATTCTTTGCTTTACCTCATAATTTGATCAAGTATAATGACGGGAAAAACTCGTTTTTGAATTTTAAAACGCTTTTTAATGCTCGCACGATTACTCATCGAACCATACATTTTAATGATATAAATAGCAAAAAAAAAGAGTCCTACATATTAATTGACACGTCTTGTGCCTCAAACTGTCTAGATAATCTCACCAAAGCAACGCATTTCGTAATCTCTCTGCAATAAATATCATTAATAGTGTTCCATTTCAATTTTTCATTAAAATTTATGCAAAAAACATTTTTATCTGCATAATCATGTAATTTCTAATTAAAATATGGGTCTTTCGTAAAATGCTAATGTTTCTTTTCAGAACATGACAGGAGACAATCAGTTTTGTTGGTATTTCGTGTAGTTTATTTGCATGTAAGTAGTTATAATAACCAAACAGGAATAAAAATTTATGTTTTTCTCTACATATCATTTCGATGTTCAACACTTGAAACTGTTGTGCAAACACTTAGGCTGTCATCTTTTCAATGTGTATTCCTCTAATTCTTCTAATCTACATGGCACTGATCTTACTGAGGAAGCGACTTGTTTAGCGCTATAACCAACATAGAGTTTAAATTCATGGTCTTTAAACATATTAAATCTCTCGAAATTTTGTAGATATCTCTGTGAGACATCTTGGAGCGCATTCTTGCTGGTACACCAGATATCATGTTTTATTGGCTAACTTTCCAGTGCGCTGTATTTATCCTAAATTTACTGTTTCAACTAGTTTGTGAATTATTTGCCAGTCAACTCTGATCTAAGTTGAACCGCTTGTAATACTTCATTTTTTGATTCCTATTATTGGCACTATCAGGCTACCTAATAGCTTGACTTTTCTCAAAATTGAATTTTGAACTGTTATGTCTATCTGATTGCAAAATGTTGTAAAATACTCATTGACATTTTGTGCAAACAATTAAAACAGATGGTCTTTACTAACATTCGTATTTTATAAAAATAAACCACAGTGTTCTTTTGTCGTTCTACGCCGCTTATGTCGCCATATAGCTGCTAATTTCTTTGATCATTACATATGTACGTTTCCAAAGAGGTTTTCATTGGATCAATAAATGTGTAACATATCAAATTTGAAAGCTTTGTATAAATTTGTCGAAAGAGGGTAATGTCCGGCTGGATGTTGGAACGAAGTAAAATATAATGCTGACGTGCTTTGTTCGTACTTTCCATACTTATCGATATTTCAGCATGGATGCTATAGAGTTTATATATCTTCTAATGCGCATTTTTTAAATTATTTTTCGTTTATCTTCGTCGTGAAGTGTAAGTGGTTTTCTTTTGTACATAATTAAATAAAAATTCATTTTCAACGAAGCGTACCCTTTTTTTACTGTCTCTTAGCTACCTCTTAATATTTTGTCTTGTTCAACATTAACATAACATATATATTGTTAAAATAAACAATGTTTTTATAATAGGCTACATTAGTTGAAATATTGCATTAAAAACGCTTTAGCAAAGTAACAAAAAATCGGCAATGTATACTGTCGATCGTAGAATTACACTGGTCAACAAAAAGAAACTTTTTAAAAGGTGTCTGATATTTTTTGACTGATTTACTATATTTTTGCTATGCTAAATCTAGAAATAACATTCATTTTGCTCTCGGAGGTCAAATTTTTTTGAAAATTTGAATTTAAAATTATGCAACTTTAGTTATATTTTTTCAAAACAATGTTTTCAAGATTTACATGTTTTCAAGATGTTTCAAAACAAAATGTCAGTTTTTATGATAAAATTTCAGTATTCCAAGAAAGAATCATGTACACTTCATGTACAGTACATGTAACTAAAAATGAAAACTTAATGTTTGCATTATTACGGTCTAAATTTTCGTTTTTTTTGATTGTCGCGAATGTTTTGGTGCTTGCACATCTTTTTTTAAATTCCAACAGTAGTCCGCCATCATCACCATGTATCACCTTTCTCTTAAGTCATGGTGAAAGCGCTCTCCTTGCTCATCGCTTAAAGAGCCAAATTTTCGGGATCAATACCAGCTTTTAATTTTTCAGTTGACAAATTGGGGAAGGTTTTACAACGAAACTGAAAACACCGTCCATCTTTATCCAAAGTTTTAGTGAATTGCCTTATCAAACCGAACTTTATGTGCAGTGGAGGAAATAAAATACGTCCCCTGTCAACTAGAGGCTTGTTTATCACATTTTTTGCTCTACAACTTGCAAGCTCTTCACGTACTGGCCATTCTTTTTCACGTAATGATGAGTACGATCCCTACTATCCCAGAGGCATAAAAGTATGGGTATTTGGTAAATCCAGACTGTTGACCAAGCAAGAAGTTGACCATTTTAAGTCAACGCAAATCAGCCATTTATGTTGGTCATAAGAAATTTTTTCTAGGACGTACTTAATTGCTTCATGCTGTTCTTT